TTCCTACAAATGGTTTAATTCAATTTTAATAGAAATTCAACAATTTGCATGGGTTATCCAACACAAATACATATGGACTGTATTATCACAACGGAAAAGTATAATACTTGATAACAATGTGATGGATATTCAATGTGTTTTAATAAATTGTTGCAGGTAATTCATGATTGATTACAACCAAATCGGCTACAGACTCTTCTTGGGGTGATCCACCAACCTGATCACTTTTAGCCAAGTACCTAACCAGATTCCAAATGTTCTTTTAACTTTGCTTTTTATTCATAAAATTGAACTACAATCGGCCACTAGCGACGCGAAACTACAAAGAACACTACCTGTTCTATTCATTCAGTGTAAATAAATTTCAGTCAATCAAACAATTTACCACAGATAACAAATGTAATTGCACTGGATTATTGAATCAACAGAAGATTACTCAATACTACAGATTCGTCAAAAAGAGAATACAATTTTAATTCATGGCTGTGAAATAGCATCAAATTAATTTCAAAAGTGTGACAATGTTGTCTGAATATTTAAATCTGGATAGCTTTAACAGAGACTGCAATATATGAAACTATGACTCGTAAAATTGTCAGATTATGTTCAAGACAATTAAAAATAGACTACATTTTTGCATTCTTTCAAATGCCCTTTCACATTCAGCTACATGATCATATTATTATATACAAGCGCAAAACAAAAATCATGCTAAAGTAACACAAGGTAAACAATATCCATGCCTTAAAAATTAATAAGCATGTGCTTGTAATGTAGGATTAAGTCAGTGATGAGTTTGTAATTGGTCATGCTGTGAACACATTAATGTTCTTTTTGATTTACTTTACACAAACTTTTTTTAAATTTCTCAACAACCCATTTTACACAAAAATTTAAAATGAATAAATGATTGAGTTATACCACAATATTATTAATGTGGTCAATGTTAGTGAAAAGTTTCTTTTTGACTGAATTTGTTTCAGATTGTAAGCATTCAAAGAAAGTCATTGTAGTTTATTTATATACCTTTTTTGTGATTTGGTAGATAAAATTTCCTTAATTTTACTAGATTGTTTATATGCTCATTTAAAAACATCACATCATGCTGTACCTGCATTGCAATATTGTATTTGCAAATCATTAGTGTTAACAGTTTCAGGGCACTCATTATTGAAAACAGTTCCATAATTATTAAGTATTGATTACATTGTAGCATGCCAAATATACATGTATTGCTAGTATATTATAAATGAATTCCCGGAATGCCAAATCGATTATTATAAAAGTGGTTCTATATAGCATGAACTCATCTCAACACTTCCAAGTGTTGTGATTCAATAACTTCAGCTTAAACTCTTTCAGTACCATATCTTGTTTATGCTAAAAACTCTCAGCACTAGTTTCACAGTAAAATTATAAAGAAAAAAATAAGTAGAAAATCATTGATGCTATGCTTTGTTTCAATATATTTGAAATATCCATTATCATCACCACCATCTTAATCACCTTAAATATCATTGTAACAGAAGAATACTTCACAATAAACTATTCCAACACTGCACAAGACAGCAGGATTTTGGACATCAACGATTTTCCAGTGGAATCTTTTGTTGTACCAACTACAAACAAAAAATAAATCACAGTTAACAAATTATTTAAGCAGTTCAGAAACAATTCAGCCTTTCACACATGATATGATTAAAACCATATAGGGGAGAAGCCAAGTATCCTTTTTGGAATTTTGCTTTTCTATTTTATGATCAAGAATGATATAAATGCTGTTGGTAAATACTAGAGAGGACAATCATAAAAAAATAACTTATATGCTAAGCTTATATAGATTCATATTATTTACAATGAAAAAATATTTACCAGGTAGCTCAAAAATTAGGTGGAATAACAATATTTTGCAAGCAAGGGATGATGAACAAAAATCGTAAAAGAAACACTTGCCAAAAGTAATCGTTGTCGGTAATGTTGATCGTTTTCCTTCTTGTTTCTATCTGGCACAGGCACCTCATTTCTCATTAGAATGACTTTCAGAGCATCTTCTTTAAACATTATGGCAGGATCTATGTGATTGCTTGTAATTTTTTCAACCAGGTACTCACAGTAATGAATCCTAAAGATGAAAGAAAAAGTTAACTGTTAATATTTTTCATGAATAAATGTCAATTTACAATCGGTGAACAAAAAGAGTTATAAAACTTTAACATCAATATGAGCCAAAGCATATTTAAAACAATGTTCAGAGCAAGACATTTTAAATAACTTTCTTTATCTTGCTCAGTTCTGGGCTTGCCATGCCAAAAGGTTGAATCATTAATATGTATAATAAGTTATTCACAAGAACACCACAAAGTTTTTCTCTAAGAACCCGCTTACTATAACCACAGTATAATGTGTTGAATAACACTGAACAGACTATTGTTTGGGGTGGGCTTACTTGCATAATCCAGCATATCCATTAGGTACATCCTTGCCACATGCTGCATCAATCAATCCATCATTAGTTTCCTTCTGCTCCATTACCGTGCATTTGCTATCAGCAACAATAGCTACAGCAGCAGCGCCTTGTGGCTCACCAACATCTCCTTGCTGAGCTACCTGGGGTTTCTCAACATTAAAGTTTATTTTATGATCCTGCAGATTAGATGTATAATATGACGTGAGTAAATCTGGTTGTGCAGGATTTTCTAACATATTTGGTGACACAATGTTCTCCTCAAATAATCGATCAAACATCTATTGCAGTAATTTGCATATAAAAGATGTTAATAGTATTTCCTTTGTTTCCAAACAAAATACTGTTTCTATAATGCTTAAAAGGCTCTATGGAGAACATTTTGCGACATGTATTATGTATGTTAATCTTTATTGTTCATAGAAGAATCTCAAATAATTATTAGGCTTTGATAATTCACATTTCTGTATTTCAGTTGTTCACTTACTATAAATGGTGATGGTTATAAGCCATCAGAGATTTTAGTGGCAAATGAAAACTGAAACTAGAAATACAAATCCATCTAATTTGCCCAAGGCAAAAAAAAAATATAAATCAACAGTCCTCCCTTTTTTTTTAGTTATAAAAAGTGGCAAAAAATACAATTTAACATTGTGCTCTATGGAATTGTTCTAATAATAGCAATTTTTGAAAAATATTAGGACAAGTGTCTCACACAAACACACAACACAAATGCTAATTCATAGTGGCGTGAGACAATAGCTTCATGATTGTACATGATAACCCAATGAACATTTCTAACATAACTTTCTTAAAAAATACGAGTAGGGTTCTACCTTAAATAAGTTTGTACCAAATTCAAATTTTGGCATCTACTGTGATATAGATGAACAAAAAATTGTATATAATTGGAAAAATAACATCTAATTTTAAAACATAGTAAACATGTGAATTTATTTAAGATTTGCAAGAATATGTACCATTCCCAGATCTGGTTTGACATGTCTGGTTTGACATTTTGACATGTCAAAATACTTGATTTTATTTTTTTTACAATAATATTGTACAGTCAGACATTTTTAAGACCAAAATATTTTGCAGAAACACTAAACCATTGCATGTGCATCAGATAAAGTTTGAAGAGCATTGTTTTGGGTGTCCATGATACAGCTCCAGGCAGAGACAGACAGACAGACAGATGCACACATGGACAGAAACTATCCCATAAGTCCCTATTTCCTTTTATAGCCCTACCTTCAACAGTTTCTGTAAATCTTCAATAGACTCATCACGAAGGTAGAACAGACAATTTCTAGGGTGATGTGCATGAAGACCTTTCTTCTCACAGCTTCGAAGTTTAGTGCAGTTCTTTTTAAATGGTTGAGAACAGCCACTACAGAACTCATGGCGACACTGGGTACATTTAAAATGCATGCACCCACCCTTGGCCAAGGCGTAACGAAAATTGCAATTAGGACAGTCTGAAACAGAGGAGAAGTTCACAAATTTTAAAATAAACAAGCAGCCTCTCGGCTGAGATAGCTCCGCTATTAGCAATGCACATTTCAATTAAAGAATAGAAGATATCATTAGAAAATGAACAATATGCATAGTATCAATGCAATGGGACTTGCTGTTTTCAGCAAGAATTCAAAAATATCATTTTTCACCATAAATGACTGTGGTTTTTAACAAGAAGTCGAAAATATCACTTTTTACCAAAAATGATAAAAATATTCATCAAAATTAGAGAATTGAAGATATCATTACAAAATGAACAAATCTGAGAGAGGTCCACATGTAGTACCTATATATGTAATATCAAAGCAATTGGACTTGCGGTTTTTAACAAGAAGTTGAAAATATCACTTTTTACCAAAAATGACAAAAATATTCACCAAAATTAGAAAATTAAAGATATCATTACAAAATGAACAAATCTGAGAGAGGTACACATGTAGTACCTATATATGTAATATCAAAGCAATTGGACTTGCGGATTTTAACAAGAAGTTGAAAATATCACTTTTTACTAAAAATGACAAAAATATTCACAAAAATTAGAGAATTGAAGATATGATCATGAAATGAACAAATCTAAGAGAGGTCTACCCAAGGTACATATACACCAAGTATCAAAGCATTCAGGCTTGTAGTTTTCAAGAAGAAGTCGAATGTCACCTACATTGTACTTTAACAAAATTGATCAAAATATGTCCAGACAATCATTTAGCATAGAATCACAAAACAAACTGATCACATAAATGTTTTTGCCAGGAAACAATTCAAGACATTGGAGTCACTGCTGTACATCTCTATACTAACACTTTTTTTGGTTTTGGTTCTCATTGCAAGTATAAGGGTGAACCAATTGCCCAAACCTAACACAGAATGAATCCATTCATACATGCTTTAGGCAGAAACCCCCCAAAAAATGTGAGCATCACTCTTTGAAGATGACATACAACCTGACCTAAAAATAATCATAGATACAAGCGTAGTACTAAAAATAATTTTCAACATTGTATTCCAAAGTGTTTATAAAATTTAAGAAACTGTCAACTGCTTACATCATAAATATGCATAATACACTTTTTAACCTCATACAAGAATGATGTTTATTCAAATCTGAAAATATGTACCTGAATGCTGGGGCATGATTAAAGTCCCAGACGTATCTAAAATACATCGCTCACATGATGAAATTTGAATGCACATAGCACAATCACATATTTTATTTGACGTACACCAAAAGCTGTCAAAGGTTACTGGTGGATATGGGTTCATTCGTTTGATAAATGCCAATGTTTAATCCCAGAAGAGATGGAATTTCTCTCAAAAACACAAAGTTGGGGATATATGAATAAATTTGCATTTATTTGGGTAATTGTAATTTCATGAAATATGGATGGTGGTAATCCCACAAATAGTAGGAACATAGCATTTAGTATAAGGAAGAATGAATTCATCTCCTGACACGTGGTGCAATTATCTCAAAGTCATCACAGGAGAACGTCTTGTATATCCAGAGAATCAATGATAGAAAGAAATAGCCTAAGCGATTTTCCTCCATGCATCATCACTATATATGATCAATTGATAAGCACTGAATTGAGAAATGATATATACCAGTATTATCAGTGATTTTACACTGAAGGTGGCTCCAGTAATTGCCACCAATTTAGTAAGTTCTCCATGCATTGCAATGACTAGTTTCTACTGATTGATCAGTCGATGGGTCTCCACATATCGTCACAGATTTCACACTGAGCTGGCTCCAGTAAACAGATTCCGAGTTCTCTAAGCATTGCCAATAAGTTTCTACCGATCACTAAGCATGATTCAGATTACAATGTATTATCACTAAGCCCATATTGAGCCTTAGCCTTATCTAATTATGGAACTGAACAAATAAATGATTAAATATTACCACAACATCCACAATTAAATATATATTAATTATAATAGAATGTTTTTTTATGAAATAAGTAAATAATACTGTTTTTACCTATACCGCATTCTTTTAAGTGTGCAGCTAACCCAGCTGCCTGGTGATCAGGGTCATTATCCTCCTTCCAGGCTTGGAACTGTTCACAAGTAAGTCCTTCATGCTGATCTAACCACTGGCAAATAGAGAGTACATGCATGTTTCATGAAAAATAATATTTCTATGAATAAGTTTGCTATGGTTTTGAGTTCAATTTATTTAAAACATGTATAGGATGACTGTAAACATTTTTAATTTGACAAGAAAATGCTGGTAATTGCAAATTTTATGAGTATGTATAAATAAATATTGTAACTTGTATTGTAATATCATGGCTAATTACAATTTTTTTGACCACCATCTACTGGCTATTCTGAGGTTAAATTCAATAAAATGTGTACTTACAGGTTTTTTACATTTAAAACAGGTATATTTCTTGCATTCAGGACAAGTCATCTTCAGTCTGTTTGGATTCTCATATAGGAAACCAAAATCACACTAAAATAACCAAACAAAGAATGGTTTGTAAGCTAAGATACTAGTAGATTACATGATTTCACCGATGCAATCATCTAGGACATGTAGGACCATCATAAATTATTCACACCATAGACACTTAAAATTGCAGTTCATTTGTGGAACATACTAGAGCAAATCTAATTCCAGAAATAGATTGATTTATTTACATACCAGTACATAGAATAAACAAGACCATAATGCAATTTTTTGTTTAACAAATGGGAATTAAAATGGCTGACTGATGGACATCTTGTTTTCTGAAGAAGAAGATGCCTCAACAAATTGTCAAACACAAATTATGCACTCATCAATGTTTACCACCAGGGATGCAAGTGTAAGTGTGTCATCTCCTAAGGCTGGACTGAAAGTTCTATATTCAGAAATGCATTCAAAATTCCCAGTGTAGGAATAGTTTTTGGAGTCAAATTCTTCAGTTGCCTAACCAAAATCAAGCATTACTACTATAAGCTGGATCTCAGGTCTGCATAGATTGGTATATATTTTTAGGGTGGAATGCGAAGTATATATTATAAAAATGAGCACAACATCTGTACTTAAACCATGATTTGTTCTAGCAATAACCTTAGCTCAAGGGAAAAACAAAATTCAAAATTAAAATAGCTTGCTTACATATCTAGTAATTTTTAAAACAATTACCAGGAACACAACTTGTTAACACATTGTTGGTTTACACTTTTACTATTCAATTCTGCTCTCCATAGAGGCTTTCACCAGGCAATGTGTTAAAAAGTATTACATTCACAATCAATTACCACCTCTTCTGGTTTACCCACCATCTATATGTTTCAATGGGGAACAATGATCAAACCTTGCAAGTTGGTCTTCTAATACTTACCACAGAACACCAGCGGAAGTTAGGATTTTTCATTAAATACATATCCGTCAATTTCTTCTGGAACAATTCATGGATTTCTGGTCCTAAGTAATCATGAACCTTAAGAGACAAACACGCAAGTATGAAATACATTTATACTCAAACAGCTCAAAAAATATGTCTGTGTCTGTGTAGTATTTCGATGAGGGTATATGCAAAATTAAAAACTCGCACGAATTGAAGAATAATCCGTAAATCACATGGCAAACGTACATTCTAAAAATACTAAATGGAAATGTCTGTGAAGGATCTGTTTAATTTTATCTATATTTTATAGTGTTGTGGATAATTGCAAAGCATGTATTACTGGGGTTATGTACATTGTTTTTTGAATACAGCAATAATTATAATATAGCTGCTTATTTCTATTTACACAATTGAACCTGTACAAGCACTACTATGTGATACCATTGGTTAGAAAAACACTTGAATTGGACCGTCAAACCAATACATCTGTATATCTATGACATGATGTATAATGAATATATAAAATTTGAACATCAGTCAAAGCATGTCAGATATATGGCTCTAGAATCGCATTTATTAAAACAAAATGGCCACCAGTCAGCCATTTTGAATCTGATCTGAAAAACAAAATGACATGCATCAGGGACCCATAATGTCCAATGTATGTACCAAGTTTGAATGAAATCCATCAGTAAACAGCTGTGAAATGCTCGATTTTGATTAATTTTCAGTACAAAAATGGCCGCCATTCGGCTATCTTGAATCGGATTGTGAAACAAATTGATGTGCATAATGTATAATACTAGGTGTGATGTATGTGTGAAGTTAAAATGTAATCGGTCAAGGCATGTCTAAGATACAGGTCACTTACGTTGATACCTGAAAAAACATCTTTCACCAGAATTTTGATCACATATTGCAAATCATACATTTGACAAACAAATACAATTTTAAAAAATTCAATAGGGTCCAAAATAATGTCCTATAATAGTTCATCATTATTGGAGTGTACAGTCTAATAAAACAGACACAGAACCTGGAAACTTACCACAACATCTAGAAATTGGAAGTATGTGTCTGCATTTTCTTGGTCTTCCATGTTTGGTTCACTGCAGATAGGACAAGAACACTGACGTATATTCTTCTCCCTGATTTGCACACTAAAGTAGCCAATCATACATTCCTTGCATATTTTACATTGACAATGGGAGAGGGTGTACAACTGCAAATAGATCACACAATTATAAAAAAGCAATGCCATGGATGAAAAGATGTTGTATTCATCTTGTGGAAAATTAATATGCGTGACATGATGTAATTGTAGTTGTAATGTTAAATCAGTCACGTTCATAGATATAGTCCTACCACAGTATTCATTAATACAACATTTTCGTCATTGTGCCATTTTTAAAAACCATCAAGGCCTCATTATGTGCAATGTATGTACAGAGTTTGAACAAGATCTGGGTCCGGAAATATGGAAACGCATGATTTTTGTCATAAAAATTGCCCTCATTACGAAATGTCAGAAATGGTCACCATCTTGAATTTGGATTGTGAAATGAACGAATATGCATACATGTACGTTTTCCATGACATGCTTAATTTGAATATGATCAGCCAAGCCATGTCAAGCAAACAGATGGGATGTACAGCTTTCTGGAGGTCAATCCGTAAGTATCTTAACCCAATATAGCATTAACATGTATTCAATAATGCTAAGAAGAAATAGTGAATTGTGACTTACCCTATTCATTGGCATGGGCGTTATACATACTTCACATGAGTATTGTTCTAAGAATCTTATAGCTTTCTGCATATCTCCACATTCGCGAGCAGCAACAATAGCATCATCAGCATTTTCTTTATTGAGGGCAAGCAATTTAATAGCAGTCTCAGCTCTTCCCCAGCTCACCATTTTATACTCTGCCAAAATTAATCTTATTCGCCTCTACAAGAAAAATATGATTATTAATTTAATAATATAAGTTATCAATTTTATGGTCTCATTCAGGGGATGACAAAATTGCTAGTTAGATCTGAATAGAAATATGGAACTGCAGTCATATCCCCAGCTTACACAGGTTATGAAAAAACTAAAAAGTAGTGGGAAATTGATCAATTCATTAACTTTCAAAGATGCAGTTTTGAAGAATCAATTGTTAGTAAACAATAGTGGCGTTCATGTTAGTGCTTTTTTGGCGCATGCACAGATCTCTGTCTTGTCTTGATAAGATGATTGGTTCCGAAACTTGACATGTGCCGAGATTTGCTGTCTTAACACTCAGCACGTAGCAAAATCACACCCTCAGTGGTGAATTTAAGAGAACATATACTGATTCATACTAGTATGACATGACGATGGAGGGAAGTGCATCGAGATATGGTCGGATGCTGTAGTGATGAATAAAATCAATGCAAACCGTCATCAGCGACGCATATGTGCAGCTGCAACAGTTTTTTCTTGCAATGCTACATCATTGTGAAAAAATAATTGTTTTTCAAATCTTCTTTGCCGTTCACGAGTCATAATAAATACCATAACAGCAAATGGATATAATTTCAATATAGCAGTTATTATTATCAACATATGCGTATCGTTTTCCATGTTTGGGTCAAATAACAGATTGAAGAACGAGGGCATGATTTCAGCACGAGCTAAGTGGATCTCAAGTGGTCCCGAATAACATGAATACAAGTTGTGTAATCCCTCTGCAAACACTGAGAATTAAAAATTTCACCACATGGCAGAGATACCATAACATGAACGTTGCAAGAGACAAGATTGTTTTTTCTTTTTTACATTCATAATTATCTTCAGGCAGCCAAATTTGTACACATTATAATTGGCAGTGGTGATGTTTGAATGGGTGCCATTACATATACAGGTACATATATGTATCATGTCGCTGTATGCATATTATGACTCACCTCATAGTTTACATTCTGATCTATTGCTTCAGTTTTCGTCACTGAGACTTCGCTACCTTCATCCCATACACGGTTTAAAAAGGGTTCCAAGGTCTGTTTCTCTAAGTCTGCAATAGACTTTTTAATATCACCCTGATTACGCTTCAGAGCTTCAGAGAGGTTTTCTCTGCCATAAATGCCAAGGTCCAAGAATTCTTCTATCTGAATTCACAAAAGAGATACATACATGTTGTCACAGAACGCTATAACAAAATCAGTACGACAGATCACTCACTACCAGTCCTCGCTAGCTACTCCGCCATCTTAGCTCCACCTGTGTATATTGATCCTGCCACAGAGGGCGCACCTCGTAAAACCACTTACGAAAATTAATGCAAGGATAAATAATAAGAATTCATGACACATGTATGTTTTTTAACTGCACTATAAAAGCTTACTGCACAGTAAAGATGTTCATAACTTTTGTTTAAATTATGTTTGCAGACTGAAGAGTGTTATAGGATTGAGAGTAGTGTGAAACTTGACTGTTGAAACAGCTCCAGTGTATTCAACTTATAAATTGCAATGCTTGACTATCGCAGGCAAAATAATAAATTCTTAAACAAATCAGGGCTAGTTGATAATAGCATTTTTTTAGCAGAAATCACAAAAATATTGTCATAAAAAATAGAAAATCTGAAAAAGTTTAAGGTATCTGCATATCAAGTATCAAAGCAAGTCAACAGATACTCTTAGTAAAAAGCTGTCATCAAAAGCCATCTCTGAACAAAGATACAACATACAATGACAACAAATTTCTGAAATGTTTCATGTGAATTTCAATATCAACAAACCAAAAATTAAAATTATTGGTATATCTCCTAACCTCATTCTTTCGCTTTATTAAGCTTTCCTCTGCAGATCTTTTGACATCGCCAAGGTGGCGTAATGCAGCTTCTTTCGCTTCTTCAGTAGTGATGCGACCCCAAATATATTGCTCATCATACTGAGCCTGTATACTTGACATGTTGATAATTTCTTCTATAAGCGCAGGCCAGTCATCTTGTAGCCATTTGAAAGGTTCTTTAGTGTCACATAAATGTAAGGCAATTTCTAGTTCGTTCACGTTATACGTATTCTCATCGACTTTCTAATATATGAATTTATAACAATTAAACATTACATTGGAAATATATAAAATTGTAATAAATTAAAAATGCAAATACAATAAATTTAATGGAGGCATGAATGTTTTTATATAAAATATTTTTATAAATGTTTTATAAATTTCAAATGACAGTTGACAACCATTCACAATACATTAACCGGTACATGACAGTTAATCAGTAAATGACTGAAGGACCTGCAATAATTAATTAATAAATGGTTGTGGTTTCTACAAAAAAATAGGGGCTGCAGTTCTGCACTGCATTAGATGCTGCCCCCCGAAAATTGAATGTCTAAGTCTGGATAGCAATATATCACAAATTATATTTGGTGCTGATTCATCAGGTTGAATGTACAAGTTTTGTCACCATTCAACACAATCTTGATACATAGAATGTTAAATACAAAACTGAAGCTGTAATAACAAAGTATCTGCATAAAACTAAGATGATAACAAATCTGAGGTACACGCTATTTGCGAGAGATTAATCAACACAAAGTTCTCAGAAACAAAGTTGGGTGAGAGAAACATTCAGTAGAGTAAGATGAATGACCCAGCTTTGTAATCTATAACAAAACTGAAAAAAATATTGATAATATTTCAATTGATGTGTAGATGATTGTTGCACAATATGGATCAACTAAGTCAGTTACGCAAGTGATCATATTACTGGTAATAAAAACAACATAACTTACCCTCAATAGATTAATAAATTTCAACCCATCATTTCGTTGTTCTTCAAGTAGTTTCCTTTCTTTAATCTCCTGTTGCTGTCGATCCTGTCTCTTCCAATCTTGAATTTGTTGTGTCTCTAGTTTCAAAAGGTCTGGTTGTTTCTTCTCCCACCTGTCGATGTCGATCTTTCCAAAAGGATCACTGTCTTCAATGATAGATGATGTCACTGGTAAAAAAAGATTGTAAGATAATTGTGGAATTCTTAGCTGTTCCATGGTTGAGCTCAGAAGCTTGAAACAAGGACTAACCATTTGAATGAACTTGTAAGTACTTGGAATTTCAATTAGCTGTCCACTGATAGGCTATTCTAAGATGGCCAAGAGTGTAGAAAACAAAAGGTCTGTTTACTGTTATGCAAATGAGACAATGACATAATCCACTTGTCACAACAGATGCAAATGCCACGTGATCAACTTGTAAATTCAGTGTTACTTTGGCAAGAACTTCTTTTCCAAACATTGGCTTAATAAACATGTGACGGAGATTCTAGAAACACACATGAAAAGTTCATTAAAACAAGAACAGACTTGCCTGCGTGCATCGAAAGTTTTTTTTCTCTGATTTCACATGCTAAATTTATAATTTACTCATACGTTCAATAATAAGGATTTAAACTTGAAATGTGATTAGAAATTCCTGTCATCGCAATAACAGATGAAACATCTAATCAGCAATATAGCATGGCTAATTGGCAAACCATACAACTGAACATTGAAAAATGCACAGTTCGGGGCACACCATTATCAAGTAGGTGCATTTATAGTGACTGCAAGTGGCACTCTCAATACTTCATACCTTAGAATTTATTGTAAGTTGTTTCAGCTAAAAATGATGCACCAGTTTCAGATAAAATTACTCTGAGAAATTCTGAACCTTGTCGCATTTATTCGGAAGAAGTCTAAGAAACAATAGACATCACAAATAATACTTTGCAAGATTCTATTAACTTTGGCTGCAGTCATCAATAGCTTGCTTGTTTTCAAAACAATATCCTGAGTTGCTACTGGTCACAGACAACTGGTAGGTTTTGAAGTTGTCATCATTCCAATATCCCAACATTTTTTTACCACATTCTGGTGGACTTGGCCATTGATTGAAATGACAATCCATTCAACTACTTCTGTACCATGAGAAACAAGTTTTCTAACTCAAAGTTTCCCCATGACATCTTGCAAGTTGAGCTTACGACCATTTCAAATGAGGAATATATAATTTTACCCTAAGTAATGATATTTTGATATACTCAATATCTTCTTTTGCTTTCAAATGTATATATATATTACTTATCAAGATCACTTATCATAAAAAAAAATGTCCCTCTCATATTTTAATTTAACTTGTCACCTTTTGAGAATGGTGTGACCCAAAATCAATTGGGCAAACGAACATTCAGTAGTATGGTTAGCTGGCAATATTGCTGATTTAGAATTCAATCCATTATTATGATGACAGTAAATGTACAATGTTCTCAAAAACATGAGGCACACTGTAGTACAGTTGTAATGAGTATATTTTGGTCATATAAACATTTCTCTTACAATCTGTATCCAATTTTGTATTCGCTGTTTTTCTACTTCCAGTCAATGTTTCTTGTTTCTTTGCCTCTTCTTCCTCTTGCCTTAATTGTTCTTGCCATTCTTTTTTAGCCTGCAATTTCTCTCTGACCACCTATGATTCAGGAAGAGAAGATGCGATCATTTTCTGTGCATCAAATTATAATAAATTGAGCCAGACGTGTTACAATACAATGTTAACAACTATGCAGTAAACGAATTTTCGTCAATAAGGTCGATAAAAATAATAGATAAAATATATTTACCTGTTCCTGGTCTTCCTGCATAGATACAAATCTGGAGATTGGTTGTTTTGATGATTTTATCTCTTCCGATTTTGTTTTGTCTACTATATTCTCCACAGAGCTGTGGGCTATAAAAGCAGATTTTGGCAGTATATCATCAGAGTCATTGCCATCTGACTTGGAGATTCTCGCATTTTGTTTTCCTACCATGGGGATACTATGTGTAGTTCGACTGCACACTTCACAGATACGAGTATCAGGGTTAGTGTTGAGATAGGTGCAGTGTTCGCAAGACCACATGTGCTTTTTACTCGCTGATTCAGTGCTTGAAGATTCAGGCCCAGCTGTAACAGCAGCGGGGATCAGATGTTTTACTTCTTCTATTTGTTGGTTCTGTTTATGTTTTTGTCTCCGCGCAGGAGGCTGTGGTGGTGATTCGAGTAGATCAAAATCCATGCCACCAATCTTAGATTCTGGTGCTTTACTCAACAAGGGTAGTTGACAAGCCGCACATATCTTATTAGCAGCTTTGTTTGACGTTCCACACCTATTACACTCTTTTGTCTGCATCATCTCAATTTGTTGAATGTCATGCAGCTTATTCTGATAACTACTGCTTAATACTGAAGGTTTCTTAGTAGAAGGCAACAGGTTCAGAGAACACTGTGAGCAAGCCTCAACACCAGAAATATTCAAATACTTGCATGACGGACACACAGACCTACGTGGCATTGTAGCCAAGTGGCTCTCGTGAGCACTGTCTTGCCTTCGGTGAACTTGTCCAGGCAGTCTTTGTAATGAGGCATACTGATTACTGCTTCCAATTCCCAAAGCATTAGTACGAAGTGGTTGCACCATTTGGGCAGGTAGATGTGACTGCAAGAGGGTATCACTAGGTGGAATTAGCTCAGGTGGTAGATGATATGATCCAGGAGGCTGGTGCACAACACTGGATGGAAAGGGCCCATACAGTGATTGTGCCATCACCGACAAACCTTGTCTGAATTCTTTTGTCAAAGCAGATTTTTGAACCATCAAGTCTTTCTCATTTTTCATTTCCTTCTGTATCTCTAGCTCAATCTGTTGGTAATGTGGAGTCTGCCATGCCTCTAGATTGTGCCTCTTCATAGCATCCTGTTGGTCTCTTAATTCGTGCACTATTTTCCGGCTTTGATCTATATCAATATTAATCAATTCTAACATCAATAAAAACTTTCTCTCCTCCTCTCTTCTGTCTTTTGGTTGTGGCATCAGAGCTTCCTGCTCAAGCTCAGGTAGGTAAGCATTCGACTGTGAGCCAACAGCAGGAAGAGGTTGTTGAAAACTTGATACTGAAGTAGTTGAACGACTTTTTGGTAAGGTGTGTAAGTGAATGTTGGGTGATGTTTGTTCCTATGAAACAAAGAAAATAATCCAAACCATTAAATCCTGCAGTACTACTGTCACTACATCATCGAAGAAACAGCTATTTCCATTTTCACTCATTTCATATTAATTTTGCATACAGAATTGAATGATGGCATAACACTTGAACAACTCCAAAATTTGTAACCGGAATGCTTGATTTAGTGAGAAATCACTGTTTAGCTAATGACTGCTAGCTAAGAAAGATGTTTCACAGTAACTGTGTTCTTAAATACATGTACCTCTTGAATGAAATCATGCAGCTGGTTCATATATACAACATTGCTTTGAAATTTGTTCACTCGTCCTTCTAGTAGAATATTCGTAAATTCACAGCGATGCAATTTTAAAATTAATTCAAAATTATATTTTAAAATTAATTCATAATTATATTTTTTTACCTCAGATTTGCTTTGCATTTCGTACACAGATGATACAGATTCAGGTCTTGGTTTTGCTCGTTTCCTTGGTGTAGGGACAGGCTTCTTAGGCAATGATACATCACTCCTTGGACGGGGAAGGGAATAGATATGCAAATTAGACCAAATTTCCCAATGTGTAAGAACATATGGTAAAATAGAATAATATTTTGCTACACAGTACTTTCAGTCAATGTTGCAGACAAAAATCAATAGTCAAAACAAGGTATAGATAACACATCAATTAACTAATTATTTTAATTATTCATAACACTATCCATTCAAGTGATTACTAGTATTTGAAATGAATATATCAATTTAAGTTATAGAATAGCATTCACTATGCCGCACGAATCAGAATAAGGTACTTATCCCTCTTATCAATTTCCTAGTAATATTATCAAAGATCTTTGTATCCTATGAAAAGCCATTCTCTTGGACACAACCATTTTTACAGGGGGTATGGCTTGAAAAATATCATTTAAGAAATTATGTACAAATTTAGCATTTTAATTTCCCACAATAACCAAGACATTCTCAGACATTCAACATGAGTTTCAGTTAGTTTAAATAATCTCTACCATATCAACAATGATGTTCACAGCAAAGTCCCACCAATTATCGCTGACAACAAGTAAGTAATATTACAACGTTGCAAGTACCATACCATATTCCAACACCCATTGTAAGTGCAATTTACAAGCAGACAACTAACTTGCATGTACATGTACCTGCTTCTATGCAGTGTCTGTGGGGGCGGAGACACCACAGTTGATGTTTCAGCTTTTTTATCCACAGCCTGGAAAGATCGTCGATGATGCGAATTACGTGCAGCGTGTTGATGCCATCTATTGTCACATTCGTCACATCGCTTGTCACCACATTCATCACACAGCTTTGTAGCAGGACACTGTCCACACAAGTCACAAAGTGTAGCTTCATCTGAAGGAAGACATAGTTGCAATATGTTAATGTGGCATGTTACAAATGTGGTGCAATTTGGATAAAATAAAATAAATTGCTTTAAACTGGTGAGACAATTCATTGTGAAGTGTGTGTGTGTGTGTGTAGCATACTCACTTCATTGGAATTTTTAACCCATGTTTCTCCACACACGATTAAATTAATATCTAGTTTGAGAATTGTGAAAATATGTTTATAATTTAATTAAAAAATTAATTGGTTGTCATTCAGTCATCTTTAATTGGATCTTGAAACAAATTCATGTGCATATGTGAGATATAATGTTTATCAATATGTAAATTTAACAAATTTCAAACAAAGCATTTGTTTTATTAAATACACATGTCTGTTATCAAATTTGTAAATTAATTGTAACAACTGAAAGGTGTGTCACTATGATATCGTAATTATCACGATGCTACCAACTTCACGGAAAGATGTCCAACTAACCATCGATCATCAGATAATTTGAATTCATTCTAACCTACCTATTTCACTTTTTTTAGGAGTGTCATCAGTAGAATTCAAACTTTTTTTGGTGAAATGGCACTCTCAACAGTGTCAGGTGGGAAGTTTTCTAATGTTGATATGGGTCTTGGTGGGGCTCGTCTTTTTTGTTGTGTTGTTGGAACAGCAGGTCCTATAGCAGGTTCCATAGTTGGAGGCCTTTTGATTTCTAGAGTATTGTCCAATATTGAAGATTCTGCTCCAGTTGGAGTATCAGTAAGTAATGATGAAGGCAATTGACTGGTTGGTGGCTTAGAGATTGTTGGCTGGGTAACAGACCCTGAAGGGACATCTTTCTGAGGAGGTGGTGGTGGTGGACGTCGGCCAAGAGCAGAGACTGTTTTAGGGGGCTGTAATATAAATATTTAACACTATGTGAATACATATTGTTTATGCTTGAATTTTTGGGATTTTTGCATACCTTGGAAAATACATGTAGAACTGATAACTCCAATGAACTCACATATGTCATTCCTGGTAATGCTACTCCACCGACTACACGGCTAGGCATACCAGATTGTTGCTGGTGCACTTTCTCCAGTTGTGTACTCAATCTTTGCTGCATAGACCTTACAGATCCAGGGGTACTCTGATAACTGGGCATCTTGTACTGTTTCACAGCATCAGGCTGAGGGTGGCAGTTTTTTTGAATAGCTTCTATTTCATGTTTGGCTATGATGAGGTCTGCAGTTACTTTAACAACCTCTGCAATATTAGGATTTTCAACTTCGTCTGGATAAGTCAATCCATCATCAACATCCTCTGTGTATCCAAGAAGTTGAAGAACATTCCGGGCACCCTATAATGGCAACGATGGTAAAACAATAAGTAAATAAATTGCATCAATCATGTTTAAAGATGATTTAGATATTAAAATTGAATTTATTGTTTTTTTTAATAGCTAAGAACATATTCAGGTTTCTGGGAGGTCATACCGGTTACTGGTAGCATAGTGATTGTAGCATCAGACTCGTTATCAGTAGATTTGAGTCGAAATCCTAAATAAATGAGTCCACCCCTACCAATGTTTCATTCATTAATAAATGCAACTTGAAACTTGATTTAGGTCTGTAGGTGCTTGTGTTCGACCAGGCATATAGTTGATGCTAGGATAGCACATTAAATTGCCATAATGCAATTATGATAGGAAGACGGCCACACAGACACCTAAATCGCAAACTAAAACATGGTTTCTGTGGCACAAATGTAATATATGTCAGCATTCACAACTCACACTTGCAAAATGCACATCAAAAAAGTCAGGAAAGACAACAGTGACATTCAATGTCAAAACAAAAACATCGATAGACAACTTATCTGATCATTTCACAAATATAAATGCATAATCTATTGTTAAGTTGATAGCATTTTGCAGGTAATGAATGAAAACATATATAACAGTTAAATATTGATTTTTAAAAAGTTCATGACAATTCATGAGGAGTCATTAGCAGTTGATCTAGACCAAAATGAATAAATTGGAGGCTGGCTTTGACTTTCCAGCAAAATGCAACTTTTCATTATTAATTTAAGAGTCAATAAACTAGAAATATTGTACAATCTGTGAAAAAAAATGTTTATTTTATTAGAATGAGAACAAAAGAATTATCCAAGTAGTAGAAACAACTCAGAAGGTAGTCACAGTAATATTCCAAATATGTACAATATCAATATGGGTGGATAGCTCAGCTGAACTTTGACCTTTGCATTGTTTCATATATGTCCAAATAACAATGACAGCTTTGAAAAAACCATAATGCAAGATAGGCATATCCTAAATATCATGTTTGTAAGTGCATCCTTCAAAAACAACAGAAAGAAAATAGCCACCAGTTGGCCATTTTGAACTGAAACATGAAAAAAAAAAAAAAAAGGTTTACCAGTGGCCCTGCTTGTTCAACCATCATTCCAAATCTTGAGAAAACTAATTAATATAAAAAAAATGTACTTACTTCGACAATATCCACCTTTGTACGAAATATCACGTTTGAAAACCGAACACTCCTCCATACATTAGGCTTGTTTACTTTTAATAAATTGATTCCATATTTTTCCAGTATTCCGAGTGCTGATACGAGCTTAGCGATAGAGTCCTGGCCCTGTGCAGTGAAAACAAAAATTTGCAATTGATGTTTATCCTTTGATCACAGAAGTTAGCAATTCATCATTTTGTTTCCATATTTGATTTTTAAAAAAAATTAAATATCGGTAATGGAAATTTATATTCCTTTGGTACCAAATTAACAAAAAATTATATGAAAATGCTTAAAAATGTGCAAAATAATTGGTATTCATGGTGTCAACAACTCAATGATTACATGGTGGGAACCAGTTAACTATTACTCAGGTTAGGGTCAAAGAAATTTGACGCTCACAATAACTACACCCATAGGCTGTACCCTTAAAAATGCTACAAAACATGTTTTCTTTGGATTAATAATTAACAATTCATAATCGCTTCATGCATGCTACATTGATAATTTCTGCGTTAATGCTAGAACTGGATTATTTCATTTTTAAACAAAATTATAAATACTAGTAATAGTGTCAGAAAAAAAGTGCTGCTACCAAAATTATCAAAGCTGCTAAAACCTTATAAGTTACATGTAATGCTATAATTCAATTTAACTACGCTCACATCAGAATGTGGAATGAACAAATCTTTCTAAATCAGGCTATAATATTAAACATATTTGAAATCCAGATATACACTGAGACAATGAGGTACAAAAAAAGTGTCACCAATTTTTCTCAGGTTACACTTCAAAACCTAGATACCAGCAAGTGGTTAATCATTGAACCTATAAAACAAAGATCAATAAACATATACATGTATAAAGGACATTCACGCCACAAACTATGGCAATGCCAAGGAGTACCTTTGAAATAAAAGTTGGGCCAAAGCTTGCCATTTGCAATTTTGTTAAATACATGTGAATAGCTCCAACACTGGCATAAAATCAATGAAAGCTGAGTTGAATGCATATATTGAAAACATAGAATTGAATTTTCACTATTACCTGAGTTTGCCCTATACAAGTATCAGTAGCACTATAATTCAGCTGCCAACCATGTCATTGTAAAAACAGACTATTTGTTGAATTAGCCACAATCTTGAATGAGCTAATATACATATATGAGAAAGCTAAAAGAACGTGTTTACACTAACTCGCTGAATTTCAATTTCAGGAATACAGCACATGTAATAATAATAGTAAGGCCTATGAATAATTTGACATCTTACTTGGATTTTAAGATTAATTAGCAACCAGGGAACTATAAGTGAAACAATAAGTGACCTAGTAATTATTAATTATATAGTTTTATAACTGAAAGTACATCTGTTTGAGTACAGCAGATTATTTGCATGCTATGAAGGGGAAAGCACGAGCAGCATATTTTTGAACCTAAGTAATTATATAATGAGATGAAATTATGGTCAACCAAAATTAATTTTTCATTTGCCTAGGTGTTGTGTATATTTGTATAAACATGAACATTTCACCCCATTGTGGACATTTGGTATCACTCACTCATTTTGGTTATATTACATGGATTCAAAAATATGTAGAATACATTAGACAAGATTTGTATTCCTTCTACATTGTGAAGTTGGCTATGATGACCACCAATGACAGATATTTTGAGATCTGTTACCTAAATATATGTTGAAGCATATGCATAAATTCACTGCCATAGTAACGGTGGAACCCTGCTAGTAATACAAACTACATTATGAATTTTAATTATTCTAGGACACATAATTATTCTAGGACACATACATGAACAATGAAGATTATTACGATATTAATGATATACGGTAAATATGACAAAAATGGAGGTAATATATGTACTACCCAACATTCATCAGTTCAAACAAGGCCCCCTAAGTTACTAGGTAGTAAAGTACCCCCCGGTACTACTATTTTCAAGATGTTTTTTGATGTGAAGATGGTTTAGTTTTTCTGTACCTAGATGTAATATTAGTAAATGCTATTGATATTATTTGTGAATAACAGTAATTAGGTTAAAGGAAATGCCTAATATTTCAAATTTAAATTGATAGTGAAACTGTTTCAATTTTATGATTAGTCATAGTTTTCAAAATTCACCACGCTGTATAATTACAAAATTAAACTGCAACTTGAATGCTTTGAACTGTGAAATAGTACCCAGGCCAAGAACAATAATTTCAAAAGTTTGTTCTATACCTTACAAAGTGAAAGCAGTTACCAGTATCCATAATCCAGATATTTGAACTAAACGAAAATTATTTTACAATAACAACAATTTGGAAACTCTTTAGTGTGTACAATCTTGATAAACAAATCATATTTTCCAACCAAATTTGTATTTTCTATTAACCCAGTAATTAATGTTTTGCTAGTTCAGAGTAGGGATATGTATATATAATTTATGTAATATTTGATTTTAAACTTGTCATGGTTTTAAAAACTACTCCAATTCTAATACAAATCATAATGCCAAATCATGCTGAAACTTATGATGCTAAAAAACACTTACCGATA